TGTATTTTTCTTTGTCTCAAAATTCTGATCTTGACGTCTTCTGGAGCTCTTCCTTGTACACTATGGTACTCCAGAATAGCCTAGGTGGCTGGCGAATGGCGGGCAGAAGCTGGATAGGATTTTTAGAATTATTGAAGCCAGGTTGCGATTTTTTTTGATTTTTAGGATTTTAGGAATTTTTACCATTTTTTAGTTCGAGATTTTTAGAGTTTTGAGATTGTCAAAATTTTCGGAACAGCTGAAACTTTTCGGATTTTTCAAAAAGGATCCGTTGAAAACTAGAAAAGATATGGGTAAAACGGATCAAAAACGGACCAATAACAGACTTACCGTGTGACTCCACCAGTAGCTTTACTTTGAGCTCAATTATCTCGGTTCCTATAAAAGATATCAAAAGTTCGTCAACTGATAAAATGTTAAACATCATATCACCAACGAGCTCAACTACCTGAGCTCCTGTAAATGATATCCTAAATTTGTCAATCAATAAAATGTTTTTCATAATACCAACAACATTTTTGTAGTTCACCATGTTCTGGTATCCTTTACAGAAATTGAAGTAATCGAGCTCAAATGGCAAGTAGCTGGTGAGGTTCGATATCACTTTTGAAACTGATTTTCAGAGTCCAAATAATCCTTATCACAATCCTCTTAAAAGTCTAATTCCGCTTCAATACACAAAAACCAACAAGATTCTAATTTTTGGGATGTTTTTGGGATTTTTTGGAATCTGATTCTTTAATTTTTCCTCTCGACCTTTGTCCCCCAGACACCCGCAACAAACATCAACACTATTAGATTACATATCATGCCATAATTTATAATCTAACCAAAATTTTGTTTACTTATTTTTCCGCCCCCAAAATTCCGAGAACCGTGTAATTGACTCTTATCAGTGTCGCTTTTCACTGTTAACGGTGTAGAAATTCACACTGAAAAGTAAAAGTGCCGCTAATCGAATCGTTAATAGTTGATAGATGGAAACTGTTCAAATAGAACAAAAACCAACAAATTTGCAGACACATGCAAATTTTTCTTTTGTGTTCTGAAACGGAATTAGACTTTTAAGAGGATTATTATATGGATTCTTTGGACCCAAAAGATCAGTTTCAGCTCAATTATCTCACTTTCTGTATGAAATATCGAATTACAAAAACTGGTGATATTGTAACAAACATTTTGTCAGTTGAAAGATTTCTGATATCTCTTAAAGGAACCGATATAATTGAGCTCAAAGGGAGCCGAATGCAACCGCGTAGCTGGGCTGATAGCTTGCACGTTGAGCTCAATTATCTCGGTTTCTTCTAAAGATATCAAAAGTTAGTAAAATACAAAAACGTTGGTGATATGATGATTAGCATTTTATCAGTGGAAAAACTTTTGATATCTTAAGGAACCAAGATAATTGAGCTCAAGATAAAGCTACTGGTTGAGCCACACTGTTGGTCCGTTTTTGGACTGTTTTTGATCCGTTTTACCCATATCATTTATAGTTCTTCAACGGATTTTGATGATTTTAATACCAAAATTTGTGAAATTTGCTATAATTTAATATTTTTGAAAACTTAAAAAGTCGTGAAAAACTCTAAAAGTCCTAAAGAATTTGAAATTTCTCAGAAAGCCTTTAAAATCCCCAAAAACAAATCCAAAAATTTCAAAATGTCAAAAATTCCTAAAAATTCTAATAAGTTCCAAAAATCCAGAAATGTCCCAAAAATCCCAAAAATCCAAATATTTTTAATTTTCCAATAATATCAAAAATTTAAAAATCCCGGAAATCCCGAAAATTCGAAAACCTAATAACCTCGAATATCCAAAAAAAGTTCCTAAAATCGTAGAAATCTTAAAAATCCAAAAATCTCTTTTGAAACCATTAATTAGGCTATTCTGGCCTAAAATTCCATTCTCTAATTTCTTTCTTCCGAATTTTGCGGTTTTCCAAGTTTTTCAAATTTTCACGTACACTGGGTGTGTCCTCCTGCAAGTTTCCCTTTCCCTCCCGAGACGTAAACAAATAGTACAAATGGGAAACTAGAAAACTAGAACATTTTTATGTTCTCTGCCTCTGGCGTAGGTTGGTCTAGGTGAGATGATGCCATAGGTGATAAGAGAACAATGTTTTGGAAATTTCGAAATTTTCAATTTTTTGTGAATTTCGGAGTACTGTACTTTTTGGATTACTGTACCTTGTCATGCTTATACTCATTTTGAAGCATATGATCTGTTAAATCCGAAAACTTGAAAATTCCAATTCTTCGAATATTCTGGAAACCCTAAAAATGGTTCAGAGCAAGTCTTCTGCCAAATGTCCTTTTTTTGCGGATTACTGTATTTTTATAGTTACTGTACCTAGTCATGTTTATACTCATTTTGAAGTTCAAAACCTGCTAAATCCAAAATTATATCAAATTTCAATTTTCTGAGTGTTCTGGAAACCCTAAAATTTTGTCAAAGCCACTTATCAGTCCGTTTTTGCGGATTACTGTACTTTTCCGGTTACTGTACCTAGTCATGTTTATACTCATTTTGAAGCTATTAATCTGTGAAATCCAAAAATTTTTCAATTTTAACTTTCCAAATCTTCTAGAAACACTAAAATGGGTCAGAGCAATTCATCCGTCGAATATCAGATTTTCGCAGGTTACTGTACTTTTTTGTCTACTGTATCTCTTTCTGTTTATATTCATTTTGAAGCTTCAACATGTAAAATTCAAAAATCTAAATTTCAAATTTCAAAAAATTCTGAAAATCTCTGAAAATCCGTTTCTCGCAACTCTGTGGTATTTGTATGTTCTTGTGTTTGCTTGATAACAGTTCTTGTCCAAAACTTTCTTATCAAAAAGTTTAGCTGACCTTGCCAAAAAAGAATTACTGTAGATTTGTTTTGAATGCTCACAAAATTTATTAAAGGATAATTGAATAACCAGAACAAAAATCTATGAGGTAGAGTAGAAAAAATCAACATCAACAGTGGAATTAGGATTTTCGAGAATTCGAGAAATTCTGGAATTCTCAAGAATTATAATGGACAACAAATATCACGAATCAGCTCACGGGAAGGGATTTCACCAAGATCGCAATACATGTACAGAAGGCCTGAAAGAAAATTATTTAAAAGAGCATAGAGCAATTTTCAGCCTAAAATTGGCTTCAAGTAAGAAACGGACACTTGGTGGCTCCCTGACGGTTCAATAGTATAAACATTTTCGATTGGACCATAACTCCTCTAGTTCTGGTCCAATTTTTACAAAAATTGTTCAGTTCAGCTTGTTAAGAGATTCAAAATGAGTATAAACATGACCCATTTTTCTTTAAAAAATTTGAATTTTCAAATGTAATGATGCGCCTTTAAACTACTGTCACTCTTCCCAAGTCCGTATCTCTGTTATTGCTTTAAAATGACTATAAAGAAGCTTCTATTTGCAATTCAAAAACTACAGTAACCCAGTAAGTTTAAAGGCGCATGGAAAAATTGGAAAATTTGAATTTCAAGAAAACCTAGGCGTGTTTAAACTTAATTCGAAGCTCTTGATTAGCTGAGTTGAGTACTGTAGTTTGCAAAAAATTTTGAACCAAAACTAGAAGAGTTACGGTTCATAGCCGTCAGAGAGCCGCCAATCGTCCGTTCCATACTAGAAGCCTCATCTAGGTTATTTTAACCCCTTTTTTCTGGAAAAATCATTATTCCTCAGTTAACGTTGACCTCATTTCCAATAGAGCGCACTTACTTGTAGGGTCCGCAATACAGTCATCTCTACAAATACCAATTATCGTTGCCAATAGATTATGAGAACATCGACGATGTTTATAATCCTTGACTGAAATGGAAGACGCCAGGAGGCAGAGGAGAATGGTGACTAGGAAAACGTTGCGGACGAAGCTCATCGTTTCTGGAAGATTCTGAGATTTTTTGAACAGTTTGAGGGTTTCTAGAAGGTTCTAGAAGGTTTTAAGGCTTCCAGACGCTCTTAGAAGCATTTAGAAGCATTTAGAAGCGTCCAGCAGGTCCGAGAACTTTCTAGAAAATCTAGAATCTCCTAGAAGCTTCTAGAAATTTCTCGAAACTTCTCTCCTCTTTGCTTTCCCCCTCCCTTTTATTTGGATCTCATTATCATCCTAGCACTCTTCTTATCTGAAAATTGGCTCCGCCCATTTTGTTGAAATTCCTGGAACACGGAGGAGTAGCTAGAGAGTTGGAGATTTAGAGAAAAAAGATAAAAGAACTGTAAACCGGGAGAACAGAAATCAAACTATGTATTTTGAAATTGCACGGAACCTAATTTTTTGGAAATTTGGAATTTTTGGAGAAGGCATAAAATGGAAAAAAAAATTAAAACTTGGATTTTAGAGATTTTTGGATTACTGTACCTAGTAATGTTTAGACTCATTTCGAAGCTTATAATCTGGTAAATTCGAAAATTTTCAAATTTCAACATTTCGAATTTTCTGGAATACCTAAAATGGGTCAGAGCAACGCATTCGCCATTCATCCGCCAAACGCCCGTTATTGCGGATTACTGTACTTTTTGGGTTACTTCATGTTTATACTCATTTTGAAACTCTCAACAAGCCTAATTGATTTACTCCATTTCTAGGAATTTGGGAACAGAATAATGAAGATATGAACCAAAAATTTTCTGGGGTCGACCCGCCAGACGTCCGCCATACGTCCGTTAGATTGTTTTGGGTCATGTTTATACTTATTTTGAAGCTCAGAACCTGTAAAATCCAAAAATCTAAATTTGGAATTTCAGAAATTCTCTGAAAACTTCTGAAAATTCATTTTCTCTACTCTGTGATATCTGTATTTTCTTATGTTTGTCTGATGCTGGTTCTTGTCTAAAATTTTCTTATCAACAAGATTTTGCTGAACCTGCTAGAAATGGAAGATTACTATAAATTTTTTTTTGAGATGCAACATTTTTTGAAAAAGAGATTTAAAGAGGAAAAATAGAGGTAGAACAGTAAAAATCAACAAAACAATTTTTTTTTCAAAATAATCACTCCTGATCCGGGCAACAGACATCTTTGAGTTGTTCGTTTGTGACGGTGCCTCCCAGACATACAACATTTTGGACCACTAAAAAAAATCGAGTTTTTGATTTTAAAAAAAAAAGGCTTCTAGTCAGTAACGGACGAAAGTTATATAATTCGATTTGGTTTCTTAAAAGCTTCAAAACGAGTATAAACATGACCCATTTATGCAAAATTTGAATTTTCGAATTTTGCTCTGCGCCTTTAAACTACTGTAACTCTTTCTAGTTACATATCTCTGTTGACATTAATCCAAAATTTAAAAAAAAACTGCATCAATTGATTTGGCTTGTTAAAGGCTTTGAAATGAGTATAAACAAGCCTCTATTTGCTACTCACACACTACAGTAACCCCGAAAGTTTGAAGGCGCATGGGACATTGAGATATTCAAATTCCAGAAAACCTCGGCTCGTTTATTCTCATTTTGAAGGTATTAGCTAGCTGAGTGGATTACTGTAAATTTCAATAAATTTGTACAATCCATTGGAGAGTTATGACCTAGTTTTAAGTAGAGCACGCTTAAATGCGCATGGCACCAAAAAATCAAACTCTAGGAAACCTGGGCTTGTTTATACTCATTTCAAAGCCCTTAACTAGCTGAGACGAATTCTATATTTTCAATTAATTTGGAGCACCCTTTCAAGAGTTATGACCAATTTTCGGTAGAGCGCACTTACACTTGAGGTCTCCTAGGCATTCGGATCCACAGACGTCTCCAATGTGTATCTTCAACTTTTTGTAGCATGTACGGTGTTTGTGATGATGACTTGATGACGTGGCAATTGGTGCCAGAAGTGCCAAGATGAGGAAAATCCAGAAAATGACCTTCATGGTTCTAAAAAATTTCCGAAATTGAATTAAAAATTTTTTCTTTTAATATTCAAAAGCTTAAAATTTTTTGCTTATCTCCCTGTCTGCCATTCAATTTTATACGCTTAGTTTTGTAGTTTGATTTGGGGGGGGGCGGAGCTTGTTCGACAAGTTTCAGAACATACGGCTCGAAATATGACTAGACCAGTTTTTTTTCAGAAGCTTCTCATAAATCTGTAATTTTTATCCAAATTGTTGGAATATTATTATCATTAGACTCAGCTCGGTGCAAGCTTCAAAATGAGTATAAACATGGCCTACTTTTAAAAAATCCAATTCTTCGAAAATCACCATGCTCCTCCAAATTACAGTAGGAAGTCGGCTTGTTTATACGCGTTTTGAAGCTCTTAACAAGCCAAAATAATTGATATGATTCCCAAAAAAATATGTAGCATAAATTAGGGAGATACGGATCAAAAACTGACTGTGGTCCAGCGGTCCCCTGCCAGCCGCCCGCCAGAGGTCCGTTTTGGTCCATATAAGCGCAAAGACAGTCATGTTTATACTCATTTTGAAGCCCTTAAAATGTGAGACTCAAATCTGTCCATTTCAAAACCCCTGGATCATCTGGAAATCCTAAAAAACCTAAAATAGCATTCTGTGATATGTGTATGTTCCTGTGCTTGGTCTGATAATAATGAGTCTAGGGCACAGAATTTTGACCGGTTAGACATTTTGTGAAAGTTGTCTTATCTCTAAATGTTAACTAGTCAGCAAATTTGAAAATCGGAATTGAACCCGAAAATCATCAAAAAATTTTTGGGAAAATTTATTTTATTTTAGGATTTGGTGATTCAAAAAACCTGAACGAATTCAGATGTTCTTAAGGTTTCCAAGTGGTCCAAAGATTTTGAAATTCAAAAAACCGAATTAAAAATGACATGAAATTCAAAACGAGCCCAAACATGACTACTTTAACACCAAACGGACACCTAGCGGACGTCTGGCGGACAACTAGACCCCCATGGAGTTTTTGGTCCGTATCTTCATGGTTTTCACTTCAAATTTGACGAAAACTGTATCAATAAATTAGGCTTATCAAGAGCTTCAAAACTAGTATAAACAAGCCAGGGCTTGTTATTCAAAAAGCCCACAGTAATTTAAAGGCGCATGGTGAATTTTGAAAATTCGAAAAGTTAAAAAGTAGGTCCTGTTTTTTTTAAAAGTTAAAATTAAATTTTAAAAAAAAAATTTAATTTAAAAAGTAGGTCATTTTGAAGCCTTTAACGAGCCTACAGTGCGTTTCACATTTATACGGTCACCCTAATTTAGGAGCTTAATAGGAGAACCGATGAAAATATGTATCCGGTGATTTAAAAAACGGATTCAGGATCTCAAAGCACATAGCCTTGATAATTTTCATGATGATTCCAATAAAACTGGCAAAACTGGGCCATTTTGACTGAAAATTGGATCTCTGCAAGCGTTTCATATTTATACGGTCACCTCCGGAAAAACAAGGAAAAGATATATCTTATTGTTTGGTGGCAGCCCCATGGATTGGATCTTTGCGCAGATCATTCCAAAATGGCTATTTTCCGTCCGATTTACATTTATTGTCATCCTAACAGATTTTTTTAATGAAAAATCAAATATTTCGGATTCTAAAATTTAGTCTACCTTCTGTGGAGACAGCCTTCTGGTGTGGTGTGCTTTCTCTTCGGCGAGATATCTCGAGATGGCACTTGCCCCTGGTCGTAAAAACTTCGGGGATTATCAAACGGTGTTTGCGGATCATGTCCTCCATTTCCGTAGCTAGTCATCTTTTTGAATCACAATTTTACGGAGAACGTATTACTTGAGTATTTACCATCGTTGAAAAGAGTACAGAACCGGCGGGGTGCTCAGGAATGCGATCGGTGCCGAATGGTTCGATTCGGAGCAGAAGATCAGTTCAGGACCACCAGTACATTCCAAATTTTCTCCATTTTATGTCAAACTGTACCTTCAAGATTATCAAATCAAATGGGGCTGCCACCAAACAATAAGATATATCTTTTCCTTGTTTTTCCGGAGGTGACCGTATAAATATGAAACGCTTGCAGAGATCCAATTTTCAGTCAAAATGGCCCAGTTTTGCCAGTTTTATTGGAATCATCATGAAAATTATCAAGGCTATGTACTTTTAGATCCTGAATCCGTTTTTTTAATCACCGGATACATATTTTCATCGGTTCTCCTATTATGCTCCTAAATTAGGGTGACCGTATAAATGTGAAACGCACTGTATTTGATTGGTTTAGATTTTAATGAATTATGACTAAAACTAGAGGTTCTATGATCCAAAATGTTGAGCCGCCAGAGAGCCGCTGAAGGTCTGTTTTTAATTATAGGTAATTTTGAAGCTCCAAAATGATTTCCATCTGTCTGTGTGTCTGTAAACCTTAATGTCGACTTTTTTGAAGACCATTTTAAAATATTTGAACTTTTGGGTTACTGTAGTATCCTCAATTTTGTATATTTTGAGCCTCCGAACCAACGCTCTCAATCGCCAAACGTCTATTCTTGCACATTTTGTGGTATTTGTCTTCGGCGGCTTATAATTTATGTGATAGTGAGACTGTTTGACCATTTAGACACTATTTCTTATCATAAAATGTTGCGAATTTTTGTTGACTAGTCAACAAATTTTTGGTTAACTGAACTCGGAAAGTTATAGGAAAATTTTGGGATTTTCAGAATTCAGAAGTTCGGATATTAAGAAATTCAGAAATTTAAAATTCCTAAAGTTTGGGCTAAAGCCCTTTTATGGTCTTCCCCAAAATTTCTAAAAAAAATAAACTTCAGACATCTGAAAACCATTTTCTAGCTTCTTCTGGTCCGTTTCTAAAATTTACGATACTTCTCTAAAACATTTTTATTAACATGTTTTATTGAAGGACCCCAAGGATTAAAAAGCCTAAAAAACTAAATGGATCCACAAAAATTGAGATAAACTAAATTAAAAAAAAACACACACACACACAGAAAACCATCAAAGAAAACAAACTGAAATTTACAAAATAAGACTAAAAAAAAGTTAAAACAAATTACAACTAATGAAATTAAAATCCTCGGAGTCCTTCGGCGTAGACTTCTTCTATGGGCAGCATCTAAGCTTGATCTCCGATTTTGGTACTTGTGTTCCGGAGCACGCGAGCTGCAGCATGTCTGAAAAATAGAAAGTTGAATTTAATATCATTTTGTAGATTTCGTCAAATTCAACATGTTTCTTTTTTTTAAAGTTAAACTTGGAATTTCACTTTTGAGCAGAGTTATGTGCACGTCAAGGTGGCTGTCATGCTCAGTTTAAGCTCAATTATCTCGGTTCCTAGAAAAGATATTAAAATTTTGTGAGCTGATGAAATATTGATGACAATGTGATAAACATTTTATCAGTTGACAAAATCTTGATATCTCTTAAACAAACCTAGATAATTAAGCTCAAATAGCTAGAGCTGGTTAAAAACGGACAACCAACAGACTGCTCGGTGGTTTTTGACTTGTACCTTTGTTGATTTGTATTCAAATTAGAAGAGAATAATAATATCAATCAACGTATTTTTTCAAGAGCTTCAAAATAAGTGTTTGTATTGATAAAAATTGTCAAACTCCACTTACCAGAAGCGTCGTGTTCACATGGTCCTTCACAAATCAAAAATATCATACTATTCAATTTTTTGAAGCAGCTTCTTGGGCTCCTAGCATCAGATAATATGAAAAATGCTCCAAGCAAAAAAGCCAAAACATAGAACAATTTCATTATCTGCAAAAATTTCAATTTATGATTTTTAAAACCGGGAAATTTTTAAACATTGAAAAAGGTCAAAAAATTAATTATCCAGAGCAAATTTTCAGCTTTAAAAATTCAAGAAAAAATTCTAAAACTTGAACTTACATTAGCTTTTTAAAATGGGCGGAGCCTAGAGATTTTTCTAGAAACCGCCCATTTCCTATAGAACACGGGAGATCTCTCTAGGAACTTTAAAAGATGAAAAAGAGAAAATGTGGATGACTAGACAGATAAAAATGCGAACAAAAAAGAGAAAATAAGAAACGGGCTCTCTGACAAATTCAAAGGTTCAAAAATGTTAGAAATGAGAAAAAAGGAGGATTTAGAAGAAAAGGGGATGAGAAATGAATGAAATTGATTGAAAACGGACCAAAGGCGGTCTGAAAAACATACAAAAAGTGACTGAAAATGATCAGAATTTGAAATTTCAAAATATTTCCAGTATTTCGAAAAATTTTTGGACTTTAAAATCGTGTCTATTTTTTGTAATATTTTCTAGAAATGTCTTGAAATTTGACCTTAAAATTTGGCCTCAAATCATCCAGAAACGGATGAAACACGGCTCAAAAATCGACGACTTCTGGTAAATGACTTATCTCGACTTTGAAAAATCAAACTTTGAAAAATTTATTTTATTTACTTTCAAGCATATTTATACCCATTTTAAAGATTTTGAAAAAATACGTCGATTGATATAACTTTCATGCAATGTGGATGAAAAAAAAAGGAAGATACCGGTCGAAAACCGCAAGCTGTTCATCCGCCGTTTGTCCGTTCTCTCGTTTTTCTGATATATTTTTACAATTTTTCAGATTTTCCCATTTTGCATAACTCTTTGCAGTCATTTTTCATGCATTCCAGCCATGTAGACATCTGGACATCTAGACACACAGACACCTTGTTTCGGTTAACGTGCGAAACGAAAAGGCTAGAAAACATATGAATTTCATGTTTTCTGATAACTCTGATAAGGAAAAAAATTATGGACAAAAATCATAAATTTTAAAATTTAATGTTTCTCCAATTAGGGGTTTTCAGAAACCAAAAAATCGAAATTTCTGGAAATCGCGATAATTTTATCAATTTCTTATCCGTTTTTTTTCAGTTTTTGACACTAAAAAAATAAAAATGTTTATTTTTACTTTAGAAATAGTGCGACTAATAAATATAAATAGGTGAAAATTGATCGAAAAAAAAGTAAGAAAAAAGAATTTGAAATTTAAATTTTTGCCAAGTCAAGATTTGCGCCAAGTCGACCAAGTTCTGCACGGACTGCCTGAAAATTTGAAAGTTCGATATTCAAGATTTTTAAACTTGGTAACGGACCAGAAACGATCCAAAAAAGGTCAAAAACAAGCCGAAAACGGTCCAAAAAGCCGGCTTGGCTGACCCTGTCATAGTTTCTTTCAGGATCATAGCCTTCAGCCCAAATAAATTAGATATGATAGATCTTGAGGAGTACTACAACATTATTTAACTTTGATTACTGTACCTTGTCTATGAATAAAGTGACAAGTGAAAAACTATTTGAGCTACGCGGACATAGCCGAGCTCAAGACTGGTTTGTGGCTTGTAACTTTGTTCAAAGACAAGCTACAGTTTTCTAAATTTTATCATTTTGTAGAACTCGTTAAATTCTATAAGATCAAGTTTAGGTGGTCTAGAAATCTTGATTCTAAAAGGAAACTATGGTAGAGACACCTAAGGACGGTTTTTGTCCCGGTTTGGATCCGTTTTCAAGTACACTTCACAAATAAGATCTACCTGAATATCCCGTTCAACTTGTTCTTTCAATTGCATTGCAGTTGCCAGCAATTGAATATTGGTTTCTGCTTCCAGAATCGCCTTTTCATATTCCCTATTAACCCGATTCAAATTCAACAGCTTCACATTCCAATAAAACATCTGAACATCATTCAACTTGACCAATTCATCATCCGCGGTGAACAATTGACATCCAAGATCAAATTTTCGAATTACCGCATTTATAGAATTGAATGTCCATGCTTCAGCTACACTCATTTTGAATGAGTTCATTGTGAATTTTCTAGTGATTTCCGATGGAATATCCGATGGGAATTTGCTGAGAAGCTTGAGTTGAACCATGTGAACGGCCACATAGCGTTCCTGGTTTCTGGAGACTGCTGGGAGTTGGAGGCCATCAATTGTTACCCAATCCCAAGCGGAGAGGGTTGAGATTAAGGCCTCGGTGCCATGAGAAGGAATAGATACTGGATTTTTGGTTGCAGTCTGGAATTTTTTTATGCGTCTTTAACTTTTTTTTAGTGACTCTAGCAAATAGGGGCCTGCTTATATTCATTTGAATTCTATAAACTAGCCAAGTCGGACCATAAACTTTGGACCAAAACTAGATAAATAAATGGTCCACATTTTTTGAAAATTGTAGAATATGACTCAGCTAACCACGAGCTTCACAACGAGTACAAACATAACCTCTTTTTTCAATTTTTTTCGAATTTTCGGTGTTCCATGCGCCTTTAAACTTTTTGAGCTAATATGGTCTTGTGTATACTCATTTTGAAGCTCTTAACAAGCCAAGTCAAACGGTATAACTTTCCTAAAACTTGAACCAAAACTAGAGGAGTTATGGTCCAGAATATTTTTGGAATTGAGCCGCCCAACGCCCGGTTTTTCACTGGAAGCTTCATTTTGGTCAGTTTTAAAAATTATTTTACAATTAAAACTAGCTGAGATACGGGCCAAAAACCGTCCAGAATTCATTTGCCGTTGATCCGTCGATCGTCCGTTTTTGCTATATTTCAAAGCTTTTCTAGACATATGGACATCTAGACACACAGAATTTTTTTTTGCAATAAACGTACGAAATGAAAAAGCTAGAAAACACATGAATTTCATGATTTCTGATAACTGATAAGAAAGAAATTATGATCAAAAATCAGAACTTTCGAACTGAGAATTTTTGAAAATAGGGTTTTAAAGAGATCAAAAAAATGGAAGCAATCGTTGAGCCGTTTTTCATCCGTTTCTGATGAAATACAGATTTCGGGACATTTCTAAAAAACTTTCAGGAATCTGGATATCTGGAAATATCCAACCTTTCTAAATTTGATCGTTTTTCAGCTAATTTTTCATCCGTTTCAAGCTCATTTTCTACTTCAAAATCATAGAAAAATTCAAAAACTCACTTCATTTTCACGATTTACGGTCTCTGGAGAGGGAGAAATTGATACCCAACCATCTAAATCAATTTTCGAGCTCTCGGATTTTGTTTCCTTGGCATTTGAGGAAGATGTAGTGTCCATGAAAACGTATTGAGAGGAAAAAGGGGGGCCCAGATGTCCCTCTCCTTCTTCTATCGATCTTTACCCATATTTAATTCATGAATTCTGCATATGAAATGCATTGAAAACCTTATTCCAGTTGAATTCAAAATGTCTGAGCTAGTATATTTAAATTTCAAATATTTTTTTCTTTATTTTTAGGTTTACGCCCACCCTATAAGTCCATTTTAATCTCAATTATCTCGAATTCTATAAGAAATATCGAAAATCTGTCAACTGGTGAAATATTACTGATAATGTGATAAATATTTTATCAGTTGACACCTTTTTGATATCTCTCATAGGAAGCAAGATAATTGAGAATGATTCTAGTTGCTCTGGAAGCCTCTTTAAAATGGGTTACTGTAGTTTTAACTTAAAAATGTATTTGAAAATCGCATCATAATTTTTGAAATTGTAAATAATCAATGCGGAAATACCATACTCCAGGAAATTTGCCATTTTTTCATGATAAACAGGAAATGTAAATATTGAAAATGATGTCTAAAGGTTAGATTTATCTAGAAATGTCTGAAAAAAAATATTTTGATTAAAATTTCCTTTTTTCTAGTCTGAAAATGTCATTTTCAGCTTCCTAAATCACAGTTCAGATTCTGAAATTCTGAAGTTCCGGGATTCTAAAATTCTAGAATTCTAAAACTCTAGGGGTTTAGCGTTCTAGGGTTCTAAGAAATTAGGATTCTAGAATCCTGAGATTTTGAATTTTCAACTTTTCGAATTTCTGAATTTCTGAATTTCCAAGTTTCTGAATTTTTTACCCACGAAAAATGTAATAGAAAGAGAAAAAGAAGCACACTCGGAGGCCGTACACAAGTTCGGGATCTCAGAATCTCAGAATCTCAGAATATCAGAATCTCAGAATCTCAGAATCTCAGAATCTCAGAATCTCAGAATCTCAGAATCTCAAAACTTTCGTCCGATCAAAAACCCAAATCTTTTTGTCAGAAGACGTCAGAGAAGTCAATCAGAATACAATCAGAAGTAGTCTGAATTCATGAAAACGCGAAAAAGCTGAAATTTGATTTTTGAACCTTGGAACTCGCTCTGAAAATTTTTATTTCATTCGCTCTGGAAAATTTGATTTATTGGGAACTATAAAATTCTTTAACAGCTTTTCGAGATTAAAAAAAGCCAAATTTTAAATTTTGGGTTCAATTGGGTCATAATAAAACAAAAAATGAAGAAAAAAGTAGTAGAATTTCTATGAAAACACAAACCTGAAACTCTGGAAGCAAGAAAAAATCTAGAAGAAGACGCCGAAAGATCCCTGCAATGGAAGGGCCCATATCTCGATTTTTGTAAAAGATAACAAGAATTTGTCAACTGATAAAATTTCACTGATAATGTGATAAACATTTTGCTAGCTGACCACTTTTCAATATCTCTTACAGTAACCGAGATAGAGGCTCTTCTAATACAGGTTAAAAGGAGAATGAGGTCAGAGAGAAACAGGAAACTAGGGGTCCAAAAAAGTGGGACGAGAATTGGAATGAGAAAATTTGAAAACAAGGAAAAACAACATAAAGGACTACTGTAGATGATTTAAATTGGAAAATTATGAAAACTAAACAACTTTTCCATCCACCAAACCGATCCGATCGGATTTCGGGCAACAAATAAATTCAATGGTGCGTCCATCATTTTTTCGTTTCCGCATCCGGCTAGCGGGAAATCTGAAAAATTGATCTTAAGAAAATATAAGGAAATTCAGGAGAAAAAACCAAAAAAATCCCAAAAAGGGACATTAAGCATTTATAACACCCTATCTAGACTGTAAAAGAAGGTCCCTAACATGGATTCATTTTATCTCGGTTCCTGTAAAAGATATAAAAAGGTTGTCAACTAACAAAATGTTTCACAATATCAGTTATATTTCACCAGTTGACAATTTTCGGATATCTCTTACAGGGACCGAGATAGGTAGGGTCAAAGGTAACGGTTTCCGGTTATCCGGGGACTTAACGTTTTAATGAAATCTTTAGAATTGTTTGAAGATAGGGTAGATTTTAAGAAGATCCTTAACGATTGGGTCTCGCAAAAAGGTAAAAACTCGGTTTTCAATTTTGAGCTCTTAAAAAATATGAGCCTTTTAAGGAACCCCTTTACCCTCCTTCGAGAATCTTCTTCAAGGATTCACCGTCAATGCTCTGATTGTAGCTCACTCTAAACGTGTAGTTTGAGCTCAATTATTTCGGTTCCTCTCAAAGATATGACAAAGTTGTCAACTGATAAACTGTTAACTATTATATTATAAACATTTTATCAGTTGACACATTTCTGATATCTGTCATTGGAGCTGAGATAATTTGGCTCAAACTAGACAGGGTTGGGGGGGGGGAGGCTTAAAATACAGGTTTTACGGTACATTTAACGATCTTTAAAGCTCTCTTTTAGCAACATTTTTAGCTGCCTTTAACACAATTTCAACACCCTAAGAATTGGAAGAAAGTCCCAAAGACTCACGCAGCTCATATTTGGGACATCTCTCTCCACAAACATCTCGAATCCGTTTCTCCAAACCATCCATACATTCCTTGCCATCCTCTCCGATTTTGGTCCTCCATCCCTTTTTAATATTCCTGCTCATCTGGGTGAGAAGTGCCGGTTGTTGTGTGAAGAGCAAAACTTGGAACTGGACCTCAGACGGTGCATTTTTGAAAAAGTCCACGGGAGATTGATGGGGATTAGCGCTCGCTGACTCTATGTCGTTGTCATAGCTCACTTCTTTGTCATAATCGTAGAGCAATTGGGACGGAGCACATTGAGCCAGGATAGGGAGCAGGAGCAATAAAATGAGATTCATCTGGAAGTTTGGAGGTCAAAATTGGAAACCAAGGAGCCAGAAAAAAAAGCAGGAAAAACCGGAAGTGGCGTAAAGACCCGACGGCGCCCAAATGTTTCTCTTTTTGAGCCCTTTGAGCCGACAAAAAAGAGCAAGAGTGTAATAAATGTGTAGAGACGCAGAGAAAGGGCTTGGGAACCCGAGGGGTCAGGGTGATGGATGGCAACCGGGGGTTAAGGGAAAGGGTATTTTTAGAAAAAAAGGATTGCTAGGTTTTGGTATTCCAGGGATTCTTGAATTCTAGGGTTCTAGGATTCTAGGATACTAGGATTTTAGAAATCTCAGATTCTAGATCAAAGAATCCTTGAATCCTAGAATCTCTAGATCAAAGTATCTTAGAGTCCTAAGGACTACTGTACCTAATTTTTTTATGCATGGAAAAATGAGAAAGGGTCAGTTTTTCTATATTTTCTGTTTCCTAGTATACACATGAAAATAGGAAATAAGGAAAAAAGGCAAGCTTTTTGGTGACGGACGTCCGGCGGGCGCTTGGCGACTGAGTAGCCAACGCATGCTAGGCGATCGTTTGAAGGACCGCGCCAAAGACGGGTGATTAGCGAGTCAAGGGCGGCTCATAATAAATCCTGATTCAGAATTTTTGAGATTAAGAGATTCTAGGATTCTATGATTCTAGGATTCAAGGATTCAAGGATTCAAGGATTCAAGGATTCAAGGATTCAAGGATTCAAGCATTCAAGAATTCAAGGATTCAAGGATTCAAGGAATCGAGGATTGGTCGTCCGACGTGGAGGATTTGACATGTGGAATATCTGAAAATCGTAAAATCAGAAAAAATCAGACAATTTTTAACAGGTTTTAGGGACATTTTTTATTAACAAGGTTTGAAAAAGGAACAAGAAAAGTTTAGGAAGAGGATGTAGGAATATGAGAAGTTGGAGGTCAAGAAGAATAGAGGTATTTCAGAAACTGTGAGGTAAATAAAGAAAAATCATAGTACAGAAGTTCACAAAACAAGGAATTCAGAAAATCCAAAATTTCGGAAATTCAGAAAATTGAAAAAAATCAGAATCTGGAGGGAAGAGAAGTGAGAAATTTTCGAAAAACCAGAAAAAAAATTCGGGAATTCAACTGCGTTCAGTCCATCTCGTCCTGGCAACAGAGGAGTCGAATCCGGTTCTTGGTGAGACATTCGTCCTCGTTGAACTTGGTGCATGTGTTAGCGATGGCGGAAAAAAAAATTATAAAAGCAAATAGAGCAATTTTAAGCTTGAAAACGGATAACCGACGGACGAAGGATGGAGGTGGCTCTTACTAGGGAAGTCTTTTGTCAGTTCAAAAAATTAAGGAGACTTTCAAATGCAAAATGGCTGGAAATTCAAATTTAAGAAAGAAAAATCACTCACTGGTCCAATATAAAGCCCATTCACATGCTGGAGTCCCGCAAAACTCTTCGATGCTCTTGTCTCTGTCCTCAAGACATTTTTTCACACTGGCATCCCGTCTTTCAGCTCCTTGATTCATTGCTGCGGTAGGATGAAAACTGATGAAATGTTTTTTGTACCGCATCATCTCTCTTTGAACATCTTGGGAACTGTTGAAATGACAGAGTTTCAGAATGTCAAGGTCATCACGGTTCTTTTGATCAGTGAGGATTTCGATGACGTCTCCTGGAGCAATGGAGTCGCTTCGAGCATTGAAGGCAAGGATTGCAGTTGATGAAGAAGGGGCTGAAGGTGCTGGAGTTTCTGAGGATGGAGATTTGGAGTCGATGTTGGATGGTACAGAATGAGTGGGCGTTGATGGCTCTACGGCTCCAGAATCGGAGGCATTTTCCGCTCTTTTCAAAGTTCCTGTCACCGTTTGAATCGTGTTAACCATGAATATGGGCAAGATGATTAGAAGGGAAAGTCCTGGAGGAAATCGCACATCGACCATTGTTAAAACGCTGAAAAAAAAAGAGTTGAAAAATTATTTATTAGGATCTTCATGAGCAATTCGAAGAATTCACAAAATTACCCAATATGTGAGGAGCCTATTAATATTGAGCCAATTTATCTCGGTTCCTGTAAGCGATATAAAAACATAGTCGACTGACAAAACATTTATCACAGTATCAGTAACATTTTATCAGTTGATTACTTTTTGACAGCTATCACAGTAACCGGGATAGATAAGCTCAAAGTTGAACGGTAGGGGGTTCTTTCAATTGCAGTGTTTATTGTACGATTTCGGATGGAGCGTTCAACTTTGAGCCAATTTATCTCAGTTCCTGTGAGAGATGTCAAAAAGTGGTAAACTAACAAATTGTTTATCACATTATCAGCAATGTTTTATTAGTTGACTACTTTATGATATGTCTCACATGAATCGAGATAATTTAAGTTGAAGTTAAGGAGAGAAAACTCATACAACAATTTGATTGTTCTCATTAGAGCGCATTTTCAATACTTGAATGTTATTTCACTAGATAATAATGTACTACAAAACAAATTTTGAAATTTCCTATTATTCAATATAAAAACAATAACAATTGAGCAAAAATTAGGAGAGTTATGGGTGATCAAACTTTGGGGAGCCTAAACTTTTTTTTTGGAAAAATTAAAAAATTTTAAGTTTCTAGAAAATTGAGAAAAAATGGGAAACTAATGAAAGGTAAGACTGACACCTGGATATTTACACTGCATTTATAGCTATAGTTTGTGTGTGAAGAAGGGGGCGGGGCCTAGTTAGGCTCCGCCCACAAACACCCTGACCAAACAAACATAGCTGACTAGGCGGGGGGTCAAGGGAAAATAAAAAATGTTTCGAAGGAGAAAAAAAAAAAGAAAGATAAGAACAGTAGAAAAAATGGAAAGAAGAAGAAGAAAAATCTGCCCAACTCTTGTCCAAACCTTGTCCAAAAAATTCTGCCACGTGACTTATCTTTATGGGGACTTCTGGAACTTTCTAGGGACCTTTAGAACAGTGGTTTCTCCAAAAAATGACTCATCACTTCTTGTTTCATCATTTATGTTATCACTGCTAGTCAAGACAGACGCCCACTGTTGTTTTTGTGAGTACTCACAACCAGAGAACATTATCGGGGGACCAAGAGGTTTAGAAAGCTCCAGAAGATTCTGAAAGTGTCACCATCTAGCTGAAAAGGTTCAGAAAATTCTAGAAGGGTTTAGAAGCTTCTAGAGACTCTTTATATTTCATTAACCTGAAATTAAACTTCAAAAGAAAAAATAACGGTGTTAAAACATTTATTTTCAAATCTAGATACTTGACATTTCAAAATAGAGGTAATGGAAAAGGACGAGGTATTGGAGGTAACGGAGAAAAAGACATTAAATGCAAAACATTAATAAATTGCAATTAATTTGGGCAACAAAGTTCCTGGAAAACTTTCTCATTCAGGTGGGTGCGGCAGGCCAATGGAGCAAGATCTGAAATTTGAAACAAATTCATTAGAATTTCTAAAAAAGAACCAAAAAAGCTATCAACTAGAAAAATGTTTGAAATGAAATTTTACATATTTTTATAGTTTACAAAAAATGAATAGCTTTTTTAGTTTTGGAGATATGCGAATTTAAAGAAGCGGAGAGGTACACCACCCATCTAGGTGTCAGGAATCGATGTCTCTTTAAAAGCGCATATCTCAAAAACTAGAAAAGCTATCTAAAATTTAAAAACTAATAAAATGTGTAAAATCAAATTTAACACATTTTACTAGTTGACACCTTCCTTGTATCTTGGAAATCACTTACATCCGGATTTGCACTCGGTTACTTCTCCACAAGTGCCTAAGATTTTTAGACGGATTTTAGAGCCACAATTTTGTGGGACCAGCGGCTCGATTTGCTCTTTTTTCAGTTCCTCCAAAACTTCCAAGGCTTCAGGCTGGAATTTCTCCAGAACGGCTTCCAGTTCCTTGAGCTCATTTTCCGAATGCAAAGCTGAGATTGGAATGATGACTGCGAGGAAGATACAGAAGGCCACGTGCAATTTCATTTCTCTGAAAAAATGGAAAATTGAGGTTCAGAATCCCTGGAAAAATTGTGAAGTCTAGAAAAAGTGGGCCTCTCAACCCTAGAGCAGACGGAGCCCGAGCAGTTCGCTCCTCCCGTGCCTGGCACGGCGAGGCTCCGCCCACAAAACAGACGCCCCCAAACAAAGATGCACTCTTATTTTGTGCTCTGAAATGTGTGCTCCGTGGAAAAAAAAAGAAATAAATAGGAGAAGAAGAAGAGGAAGAGGAGTAGGACAAAGTTCCCAGGAGAAGATAGAAAAAAAAGAGATGCTATCTTCTAGGACACTAGACACATTCAGAATGTGTGATTAACTGGAAAAGGGGGCATGGAGTGGGGAGAAAAAGAAGGTCCTGGAAAAATGGGGATTTCAGAATCTCAGAGTTTCAGAATCCTAGAATCTTACAATTTCAGAATTTTCGCGATTTTCAGAAATACAAACGATTCCAAAAGTAAAATTATTTATTAACAAAGAAAATACACAAGAATTTCTAATGCAATTTTATTTCCTCTCCATGATCAAAAATTAGGAAGCCAGAAGCCGGACCATCATTTGAGGCATCTGAGGTTGTTGGGCAACAAATTTCCTTCAGAAGCTTCTCGTCGATTTTTTCTTTATTACAGAGGAGGCCTAGAAGATCTGAAAAAAGAAACATTGCCGGTTCTCCGTTTTGACCCCAAACATGACCTTTAAGCTCAATTATCTCGGTTCCTATAAGAGATATCAAAAAACGGTCAACTAATAAAATGTTTAGCACATTATCAGTAACATGTTATCAGTTAACAACATTTTGTGAACTATTACAGTAACCGTGATAATTGATTTCAAATGCAAGCTACCGGTTGGGCAAGTTGAAGCAACTTCAGCTCAATTATCTCGGTTCCATTGAAAGATATCAAAAAGTGCTCAACTAACAAAATGTTTATCACGTTATCAGTAATATTTTATTAATCAACAAATTTTTGATATCTTTTATAGCAGCCGAGATAATTGACCTCAAAGTTTACTTACCGTTTTCTTGGCAAGAGGATCCGCAAATAATAAGTGCTCTTCTGTTCAAAGCTGCATGGCAGGACCCTTGAGTTTTTGAAGGTTTTGTGGAATTTGCTGAAGACGTTGGAAACCCGGGAATCCCAAAAACAAAGGTTAGCAGAAGGACCAGAAGGACGATTTTCATCTGCAAGAAAGTGGAAATTTTGTGGGGGAAAGAAAAAATACTGGAAAAAATTGAACTTGCTCTCTTGAGCCTAATTATCTCAATTTCTGTGAAAGATATCAAAAAGGAGCCAACTAACAAAATGTTTATCATATTGTCAGTAACATTTTATCAGTTGACAGATTTTTGATACCTTTTATAGGAAGTGAGATAATTGAGCTCCTTCCTTAGCTCCTCCCACTTCTTGTTTACTCCACCCCGGGGATAACCTTTAGGTAATAGATGCGGAGGAGGAAGGAGGATAGAGATAATTCAACTTTTTGTGACAAAGAGGTTTTTCTTTCTTCTATCTCTTTTGAAAAAAGAGGAAGAAAAAGATCCTATCTATTTTGGAATAAAAGATAGAAAAATCGGAAAAAAGAGAGGAAAAGAGGAACCTCGCAACTTCAAGCTCAATTATCTCGGCTCCTGTCAACCCTACTCAAAAATTGTAAACTGTGAAAATGCGTAAAATTTAATTTTACACATTTTGTTAATTTACCGAAATTGAATATCTTTTTTAGTTTTCGAGATATGCGCCTTTAAACAGACAAAGCCTCGCGAGTCAAGATGGTGGTGTTCTTCTGCGTCTCTTTAAAGGCGCATATCCCAAAAACTAAAAAGCTATTAAATTTCTCATTTCTGAAATCTGAAAATGTATCTGAAATTTGAAGAAAACGAAATAATTTAACATGTTTATCAATTTATTGAAAAAAAGAGGTAGAGAAATAAATAAATAGAGGACCACTGGAATTTTCGGAGGTAAGGGGCCAAGAGGTAACGGGCGAAGAGGCAGAAAAAAGATATTGAGAAACGACAGAAACTACAAAACTAAAAGAAAATCGGACAAAAAATTATTTATTGTCCGTTTGGGCAGCAAATGGCACGAATGGTGTGCGGCTCGAGCTCCGGTGCCTCCTCCTGGCAGGCAACATTTATGAGTACTGAAAAACAAGATTTTAAGAGTTTAGGAGTCAAGATAGCTAAAAATAGTTGATTAAGAAAATGTGTAAAATAAAATTCTACACATTTTTGTAGTTAACAACTTTTTGATAGCGTTTTTCGTTTTCGAGATATGTGCCTTTAAAGAGACAGGGTCGCCAGCAACCGGTTAGTGGGAGATTGTCCCTTTAAAGGCGCATATCTCAAAAACTAAGAAAGCTATTTATTTTTGGTAAACTAACAAAATGTGTGAAATTGAATTTTACACATTTTCATAGTTTAAAATGTTTGGGTAGCGTTTACAGGAGCCTAGATAATAGAGCTTAAATGCTGTATTTTCAGAAAATTCTAGAAAAAACTCACGCCGCTTGTACTTTTGTTGGCACTCTCCATGGCAAACCTTCTTGATTTGGCCAGGAAGCGCCTGAAAGCACTGGAAGGATCCATAGATGGCCGGCTTCTCGCTCAGCTTCTTTTCCGTCGTCCATTGGACATACGGCTTGGTGACCTCCTCGAACGTACGACGAAAGTTTGGTTGGTTCTTCTTGAGGATCATGAAGAAGTCGGCGAGCGTTGGAATATCCACAGAGAGCCCGCGGAAACGGATTCGGTCGGAGGTGTCGGCCACATAGGCTGCTTGTGCTTGGACTCGGGCGGCTTGTTCGGCTTTTCTTTGGAGGAGCTCGTCCTTTGGAAGTAGACCTTCCAGATACTCGGCTGGTGCGTAGGGTGGGAAGGCCTGGGTGGAGAGGGTCGCAGAGGTCATTGGGACAGCGGTGGAGACTTCAGATTCTGAAGATGACGATGGGATCTTAGAGGTAGAGAAGGATCCAGAAGATTCCGAAGACGACGAAGATGGTTTCATGGTAGCGGAGGAGGAGGAGGCGGACATGGAGGCAGTTTCTGGAGATTCCGATGACGGAGAAGTCGAGTTGAAGGTTCCATTGACAGCTTCTGGGGATGGTAGGAGCGGTTCCGATGGATTGGAGGGCTCCTGGAAAGCTTCAGAAGACCCTGACGCCACAATGGTGAGGGCCAACAAGATCAGAATCTTCGAACGCATTCTGAAAAAAGAGAAGAATGAGAAAAGTTAAGACAACAGATGACTTCAAGGAATTCAGAAGTTTCGAATTACAGAATCTCGAAATCTCAGAATCTTGAAATCTCAGATTCTCAGAATCTCAGAATCCCAGAATCTCAGAATCTCAGAATCTCAGAAATTCAGAAATTCAGAAATTCAGAAATTCAGAAATTCAGAAATTCAGAAATTCAGAAATCCAGAAATTCAGAAATTTAAAAATTCAAACAAAAATCAAAAATTCAGAAATTCGATTTTCAGGAAAATTTAAAAATCCCAAGCAATTGGAAAAACTGACGGGACACTAAACGAAGCGGAGTATTTAACCCCCCCCCCCCCCCCCCATGTTTTCAGGCTCCGCCCACTTTTAGGCTCCGCCCAGCAAGAAGAGGAGAAATAGAAACTCTTTTTATGAAAGACATGTTTCTTTTTCTTCTTATTGCGAAAAAAAATTTTTTTCAGATAAAATCTTTTGAATTACTCATAATTGACATTTATAACGGAAATTCGAATCTGAAGAGATTTTCAGCGTTATCAGATATCGTATTTCCTGTTTACGGAATCTCAGAATTTGAGATTTTAGATGTTTCAGAATCGAATTTCCTGTTTTGCTGAATATCAGAATTTCCGGATCTAGAGATTCCAAAATATCAGAATTTCAGAATTTCAGGATTTCAGGATTTCAGAATTTCAGAATTTCAGATTTCAGATTTTCAGATTTTCAGAATATAGGAATTTTAGATTTTCGGATTTCTAAATTTTCAGAATTTCAGAATTACAGATTATAGATGTTTTAAAATCGAAATTCCTGTTTTGCTGAATTTCTGAATTTCAGAACTTCGAAACTTCAGAATCTATGATATTCAGAATCTAGCAATTTCAGAATCTCAGAATCTCAAAATCTCAGAATCTCAGAATCTCAGAATCTTCGAATTTCAGAATTTGAGAACCTGGGAGTTCAAAATTTCCGAATTTCAGAATCTAGGAATTTCAGATTTTTAGATTTACAGCATTTCAGATTTTCAGGATTTCAGAATTTCAAAATTTCAGAATTTCAGCATTTCAGAATTTCAGCATTTCAGAATTTCAGGATTTCAGATTTTAGATTTTCAGGATTTCAGAATATAGGAATTTTAGATTTTCGGATTTCTAAATTTTCAGAATTTCAGAATTACAGATTTTAGATGTTTTAAAATCGAATTTCCTGTTTTGCTGAATTTCTGAATTTCAGAACTTCGAAACTTCAGAATCTACGATATTCAGGATCTAGCAATTTCAGAATCTCAGAATTTCAGAATTTCAGAACTTCAGAATTTCAGAATCTATGGATCTCAGGATCTCAGAATTCCAAAATTTCAGAATCTCAGAATCTGAGAATTTCAGAATTTCAGAATCTAGGGATTTCAGATTTTTAGATTTTCAGCATTTCAAAGAGTTTTTTCTTTGCAAATTCAAAATTTCAGAATTTTAGAATCTCAGAATCTTAGAATCTCAGAATTTCAGAATTTGAGAACCTAGGAGTTTCAAAATTTCCAAATTTCAGAATTAAGGAATTTCAGATTTTTAGATTTACAGCATTTCCGAGCATTTTTTTTTTGTACTTTTCAGAATTTCAGAATTTCAGATTTTCAGATGACATGGCTTTTTTTTCACAATTTTTCCAGCTAATTTCCTGGGCAAATCCGCTATATTAAAGTATTTTAGGCCTTTCTATCAGTATTCTTGATAAGATAAGAATGCAAGCCTATGGGTCAGCCTGGGTCAGCCTAAAAATGATAAGATAAAAATTGGTCTCATTGGTTTCTGCGGTGGTTCAGTATAAATACTGGACCAAATGGACCCAGATAGGCGATTTCTGGACTTTTTTAAAATCGATAATTTTCAGAAGATTTTTTATAATTTCCAAAACCCTGAATTCTCGATTTTATTCAAATCAAATTTCCATTATCAAAAATTCCGTAAAACCTGTAATAGAAGGGCCCCCACACTGTCAACTTTAAAACAATTTATCTCTATTCCTTTGAAAGATAGCAAAAAATGTGTCAATTAATAACATATCGGAGATATTATGATAAACAATTTATCAGTTGACTACTTTTTGATATCTTTCACAGGAATCGAGATATATGGGCTCAAAGTTGAAAGTTAGAGGGGCCCTTCTATTACAGGTTTTATGGTATTCAGAATTCAAAAAATTTTCATAATTCTATACATTTCCAGAATGCTCCAATCTCTTAAATTTCTCATCCTTATCACTTCCACCATTCAAATCACCATCTCCGCCCCAGCGCCCCCAATTTCTCAAGCTCATATGGATTTTTTAGCGACCGTCGCAGTCTATGGATCCTCAGAAAATGAGAAAATAAAAAGTCTGGCTGGAAGATCTGTTCATGAATTTGTGCCGGTTAGCGATTCAATGCTCTGTGAGCATTTTTTCAAAAACTATGTTGTTGAAGTCTGCCACGCTGAATGCGGATACAAGGAAGAGAAAAGTTGGTTTATTTTTTTTTGTCCTCAGAGCGCATTTGCACTAGTATGTTCTTATTTTTGAATGTTTGAAAGTGTAGCCCATGAAATTCCTTACATTTTAATACAAAAATCTTGAAAATTGAGCCAAAACTGAGCAGCAAATGGGTGTAAATAAGCTGGTTGTCATTAGAGCGCATTTTCACTAATAATATTTTATTTTCAATAATTAAAATGTTTTACAAAAATGTAGAACAGGAAATTTGCAATTTTTTGGTACAAAATTTTTAAAAATTGAACGAAAACTGAAAATGTTAGGGATTTTCAAAATATTTCAATTTTTGGAATTTCTGAATTTCTGAATTTCTGAATTTCTGAATTTCTGAATTTCTGAATTTCTGAATTTCTGAATTTCTGAATTTCTGAATTTCTGAATTTCTGAATTTCTGAATTTCTGAATTTCTGAATTTCTGAATTTCTGAATTTCTGAATTTCTGAATTTCTGAATTTCTGAATTTCTGAATTTCTGAATTTCTGAATTTCTGAATTTCTGAATTTCTGAATTTCTGAATTTCTGAATTTCTGAATTTCTGAATTCTTAATTACCCCAGTTATCTATTTTCAGAGCTTTTAAACGAATCCTGCGGAAATATGAACACTCTCTCAATCCAGACCATTGCCAAAGAATGTTGTATCAAGGGGAAAACGTATTTGCTTTAATTAATTAATTAGTTCTTAATTGTCCATTTTTAATTTTCTGCCTCAAGTTGTTGATATTTCTATTTCTGTTAAAAAATTAATTACTAAAATTCTAGAATTTTAAAATAATGGAACTCTGAAACTACTCTGTTTGGAGATTCCAGGATTCTGAAATTCTAAAGTTCTGAAACTCTGACAATGAGATTTTGAAATTGTGAAGCTTGTAGATTCCAAAATTCTGGGATTTTATGCTTCTAGTATTCTGTGATTCTGCGTTTTAAGATTCTATGATTCTATGGTTCCAGGATTCTAGAACTCTAAATGTTTAAGACTTCTTTCATGTGCGTTCTCCGAATACGTCATGTATTGGCTTTTTTCCTATATTGCGTGACCAAAAAAATTCTTGAGTGTTGCATGTTTAGAAAACTTGCGAATGCGCCCTTGGGAATGATTGGCAACACTTTTTGCAACATTTGTTCCTCTCAAGATTTATTTCGACCGATTGGGCGAATATTTTTTTGAAGGGGATATTGAAGGGATACTTGTTTTTTCCTTTTGAAAAATGGATTTTTGAAAGCAATGGGGGCAAAAAAAGAACAGGATCTCAGAACCTTAGAAACTTCCAATTTCAGATTTTTAGAATCCCAGAATCTCAGGATGTCGGAATCTCAGATATCCAGAATCTGAGAATTCCAGATGTTTAGAATTTCAAAATATCTGAGTCTCAGAATCTTAGAATCTCAGAATTCCACAAATCCAGACACTTTGGAATTCAGAATTTTAAATTTCTAAAAATAATTTTGTTCATTCATGAATAGTTCAGATTTTTGTATTTTTTGACTGATCCAATCTCTTGTCCAAAAGTAGATTGCATGAAGAAAAATAGCAATCTCAACGATAAATTTGAAATTTTCAGATGTGTTTTGTTTGACATGGTGTATCTTGCCAGTAAGGGATTGTTCAAAAAAGTTGTAAACTACAAAAACGAAGTTCTATGTTTGTTTCATAATCCCTGAAAATTTCAGACCAAACTGATAAATGGAAAGTAGTTTTCGGACGTCGGAATTCGACTACTTTCAACTGAAATGATAGTTTTCAGATAGATTTTTAATGGAAATTTGGAAAACCGGAATGACTGGAAATTCCGGTTTTTGAAAAATAAGTTTTAAGAACAGCGTGCGAACTTTTAGGTCAAAACCCAGGAGCCGTGGACCAGACTGATCAGACCAATTAGCAAATTGTTTTTAATCTCATAATGTCAGAATCTCATTCTCAGAATTTCGGAATATCTGAATTTCTGAATCTCCTTATTTCAAAAAATCAAAATCTCAGAGGATCAAAATTGCAGAATCTCAGAATTTCAGGAGTTCAGAAAATCATGAATTGAGAATCCGAAAATCTCAGAGTCTCTCCAAAACTTGTGGAAATTGATAAAATACAGGAAGCTTCTAAAAGATGAGGTTTTGACAGGGCTTTTTTTGTAAATTTTTCGAATCAAATACTTACCATTTTCGGGATTTTCCGGAATCCAAGGAAAATTTGACTTTCCAATTTTGTCCATTTTTTGGTACCTGTAATTAAAGTAGAATTATTGGGAAGAATTATTTGGAAACTTTCAATTTTGAAAAAAATTCTGAGATTCTAAGAAATCCATTTCAGAATCCCGGAATCCCAGAATGTTAGAATCTCAGAATCTCCATACTTGTAATCCGGGCCTTTCCCGGGCCTTCGCGCGCCTTGTCATTGTTTCTTTCAGAATCATTATTTTCAGACCAACTAAATTAAATATGATTGAGCTCGACAAGTACTACAAAATGTTT